AGTGCCAGCCACATACACCAAGGCTGGCGGGTTCGAACCGGCCCAAGCCAGCTAAAACAACAATGACAACTGCAACAACAACAGAAATATTCAGGTGTTGTAGTGGGTGCCTGTAGTCCCAGCTACTTGGAAGGCTGAGGCAAGAGAATCTCTTAAGCCCAAGAGTTGGAGGGTGCTGTGAGCTGTGATGCCACAGCACTCTACTGAGGGCAACATGGTCAGACTCTGTCTCAAAAAAAAAAAAAAACTGAAGAGAGAAATACAGAATTCAGCAACAAAAGCTAGAGATTTCAATATCCTACTCTCAGTGATACACTGAATGACTAGACAGAAAATCAGAGGGATATACAAAACTTAACACTATCGACCAAGTAGACCAAACTGACACCTACATAACCCTCAACCCAACAATAATACATATTCTTAAGCACACAGATAACATTCTCTGTTAAGCCCATATGCTTAACTTAAGATCCAGTAAAAAATTTTTTTTTTTTTGAGACAGAGCCTCAAGCTGTCGCCCTGAGTAGAGTGCTGTGGCATCACAGCTCATAGCAACCTCCAACTCCTGGGCTCAAGCAAGTCTCCTGCCTCCGCCTCCCAAGTAGCTGGGACTACAGGCGCCCGCCACAACGCCTGGCTACTTTTTGGTTGCAGCCATCATTGTTGTTTGGCAGGCCAGGCTGGATTCGAACCCACCACCTTAGGTGTATGTGGCTAACACCTTAGCCACTTGAGCCATAGGCGCCGAGCCAAGATCCAGTAAATTTAAAGTAATTGAAATCATACAAAGTGCATTCTTAGGCAGAGTGAAACTCAGGAAGAAATTGACAACAGAAGGGAATTTGGAAAACTCACAAACATGAAAATTGAACAATATACTCCTAAACAATTAATGGGTCAAAGAAGAAATCATAAGAGAAATTAAAACAGGAGAACTGGGCACAAAGCCATTTCTCGCCCAAGGCACTCGACCAGGCCCCAATGACTTGCGGCTAGGAGCAAGAAAATTCTGACACTTCCCATTGATTTTAATCAAAATAGTAAATTAAGTACATCAGGCCCACATCTGCTGGAAGCAGATGCTCATTAGGACGAAAGTCAAAAAGATTATGCAGGACAGATAACTAATACCCTACATAACCCAGGTCCCTATCTCTCAGAAGTTTTTTTGTTCTTCCAGTAATTACCAGGAGGCTGTCAAATGCCAGATCTTCTCACTTCATTTTTATGAGGCCTCAAACATGCAGAAAAATATCATAAGCTTAAGAACCTTTTGGCAGATCCTACTTAAACTCAAGCAAAACATGGCACAGTAGATAGAACAGAGGTCTTATGAGTCAGGAAGATCTACTTTAAAGTTCTAGGTTGGTTTCTCACAGTGGTAGACTAGGAAAGTGAAATAACTTCTCTGGGCCTATTTTCAGCCTGGCAAAATGTAAACGCTATCACCTACCTTACAGGGTTGTCACAATGATTAAAGGAGATAATGCATAAAAAAGTATTTAGGTGCTCGGTGCCCGTTGCACAGTGGTTACAGCGCCAGCCACATACACTGAGGCTCAAGGGTTCAAGCCTGGCCTGGACCTGCTAAACAATGATGACAACTGTAAAAACAATAGCCGGGCATTGTGACAGGCACCGGTAGTCCCAAGTACTTGGGAGGCTGAGGCAAGAGAATCGTTTAAGCCCAAGAGTTTGAGGTTGCTGTGAGCTATGACGCCATAGCACTCTACTGAAAGCAATACAGTGAGACTCTATCTCAAAACAAACAAACAAAAAAGTACTTAGGACAGAACCGGGCCCTTAATACGCAATCATTAGCTTCACTTCAGTTGCTGTTACTACATAGAACTAGAGATATCTCCTAACATGTCAACAGAGGGAACTCCCAGATTTTTGTGGGTTCCCCCTAAAAAATATAGCTGGTAGAGTTGCTGTACCTTTAAATTTGTTTATATCTCTTTAAGTATGAGTCTAGCATTTGTGTTGCTGAAGATGGGGCATGCCCTGAGTTCATGACTGGTTGGAGGCCACCAGGATCCTACAGAACTGTGGAGATAGCACCAAGGGAGAAGAGATAAAGATTAACAGACTATCAAAACACTTCTCTGTAGTAGCTTCTATTTTCTGTTATTACTCTTTAAGGCCCTTGTGGGGAAAAAACAGAATAGATCTCGATTTTCTGCATATCCATTTTTGTTATAACTCTGAATGGTACTGGGTAGGGTCCACTGGAGATTCATGTGCCAGTACTGGTCACATCTAAAACTGCAGGTTCCAGGGCTGCCAATTTTCCAAGTATCACCCCTACAAAAAGCCATTTACCATATAAAGGTTCCACTTAACATTTACAGCTAAGAACTAAATGGCAAGACTGAAATACAGCCAACCACCTAAACTGTGAGCTGCAGGAGGGAAGGGATCCTGTCTATCTTACTCACTCTGGTAGACTAGGACAGTGCCTGGCACCTAAGAGCTGCTGAATAAATATTTGCTGAATGTAACTGCTCTGGGGCCATTACAATCTCATTCCAATCATACAAGACAAAGTACCTTTCCAGGAAAATAAGTAGTGCTTACTGCTAAAAGGCCAATTTCTCTTTCCCTCTGAAAGCTATATTATAGCAGCCCCATTACATGATCACAAGTAAGTTTAATAAAAAGCAAAACATCTGTATCCAGGAGGGCAAGCACACTTGGGGAAAAGGCTGTTACATAACAAGATTTTCCTTAGCAAGCACCATTAGGTATAAAAAGCTATGTCCAGTAACCACATAAAATAGAGGAATTAAAACATTTAAGAAAAATGCTGAAGGTCAACAAAGTTCCTTGGGAACTCATTCCCTCTTCTAGAGTAAGGTCCTGGAAAAAGAATGATATTTTGATGCTTTGTCCATCAAAACAACCATGGAGAAGCAGATTAGAAGATAGGTTAGAGTGCAAGCTCTGGAGTCCAGCAGCTGGACTCAGGTCAAGCGCTTTTCCTTCCCAGCTGCATCACTCTGGGTAGTTAGCCCCTGGGCTCCAGGTTCTTCCACTGCTAATTAGCTAACAGCACCTATCTCATAGGATTATTGCAAGACAGAAATGTGTAAAACACTTCACAATACTCCCTAGCACATAGCAAATGCTCAATAAATGGTAGGCTTTTTTGTTGCTATTATTATTATTGGAAATTTTCTCAAGAGAAGAAAACAAATAATATAACTACCAACAGAATCTAGAGCAGCAGTTCTCCACCTGTGGGTGGCGACCCACAGGAACTGTATTAAAGGGTCGCAGCATTAGGAAGGTTGAGAACCACTGATCTAGAGGGACATAAAAATACTCACATACTATGGAGGCTTTTAAGAAATAAGCACTCTATAATATGCACCTCGAAAAAAATAGAAGGAATTGGTTTAATTGTGAATGGAAACCATATGATAATCTAACTTAAGAGTGAGGTCTAGGGAGTTTACATTTCTTTTTCTTAGTGGCATTTTGCATCCTTTGCTAGACAGATTTTCTCAGTAGATTTTCCATCTGTAATCAACTGTCTGCTGAACACAGCCCCTATATCCAAAGGTATCTGTAAGTGAAATTAGGCCATTAGAAGTCAGACAATGGGACATGAAGTAGGGAATAGAAAAGGGAGGTAAAGAGTTATAGGAGGAAAGGAGGAAAAAAGACAATGTACAGCTGTTCCAACAAAGCTAAATGCCAAGGAAACAGAGATTTGCCAGCAGTAGAGGAGCAGGAGGTGCTGTGTGGGGTGGTAGAGGCAGATGTCTAGAACAAAGAAGGGTGGAGAAGAACTCTGTAGCACTGCCTGGCAGCAAGTGATTATCTGTCAGCAAGGAGCTTTCACATGCCTTCAGTCAAACCACATGGAAGTGGCAAGGAGCAGCACAGTGCTGTAGGGGTTTACAAACTGGGGCCAGAGCTCTCCTCAGACAAGGCAGTCAGTACACCAAGGTATAGTGTCTAGGAAGTTCTGGTATTTAGCAGAGAAACCACTGAGGTTTCTAGCTTTTCTGGGGTGTGATACTGAGTCAAATATACTACTTAGGAAATAACGCTTCCCATGGCCTTGATGCGGTCACAGAAGCTTCCTTACATATTATAAAATAAAGCCTGCAAGGTTCCCACAGCCTGATAGTGCCTCTGCCTCAGCAGATCCCTCCCTGCCTTTAACCACATGGTCCACATTTTCCAAAACAGATATCATTTAAGAAATTTTAATAAAGGTAATTACTAAAGATACCTCTAAATGTGATTTTTTTTATACCTTTTATGTCTTTGCACACAGAAATCATAATGTGACAGTATAGATTGGAAGAGGGGAGAAAGAGTGTGATAAGGAAAAAACTTTTGTCAACAAAAAAAGGGAATTTTGCTTTCTTTCTCCAGAGACTGACCAGAAACAAGAGCACACATAATGTCTCAAGTGTCAAAAACACTGGTCACTAAGCTCTTCAACCATTATAAAACTACCTCAATAGAACCTGCCCAGCCCATTTTCTGTTCTATGGATATTTCTGAGCTACCTCCACGAGTTTCTCCTATTCCTCCTTCCTCAGAAGACTCCACAGTGCACGGAACCTCATGTGCTGGCAGCAGCAAAAGGTTGGAGAGGTGTGCATTAAGCTCCTAATTAAATCACAAGATCTGGCTTGTGAAGTGTCTCACCAACTGAAACATGCACAAGACACTTTTATCATTCAATTAAAAACATAGCCAGAATTTAATTGCTGGATCAAGAAACAAATGTTTTCAACAAAGAATTTTTTTTGTTTTTAAAAAACAGGTCTGAAAGAAGTGGAAATAGGAAAGAGAAAGCTTTTGTGAATCCTGGATTTCCTGCTTTGAAGTAAGAAACTAAGTATAAGACCCCAAAACAGAGTTTTCAGCCAGATGCCAAGACACTGTCATGTCAACACAAGGAAGGGAGGGAGAAGCTTTATGTGGCTCCCTGCGCCTTCTTATTTTCAAAATCCAAAGACATATTTCCTTACCTGCCAGAACCCTGTTTACAGAAGAGTGAGTAGCCAAGCCAGGCTGTCCACGTTCATGAAAAATCCCAGCATAAGGCAAGTACTCAGGCAGCAAAAAACGCCTACAAGAAGGAATCATATGTGAAAACTCAACTAAAGACTATACACAACAAAAGAGATACATACTACTACCTCCCTATATTCAAAAATCTAGGCTATAGGATTCACTGAACCTAAGGAATACGACACCCAGAAAGGAGTCAAAATTCACAAGATTTGTTTTCCCACAGATTTTTTTTACCTCCTTCTTGCCTTTCCTTTTAAAGTAAGGTTCATGGTTGGTCATGATGGCTCAGGTCTTTTTTTTTTTTTTTTTTTTT